AAGGCAGGCTTTGCTCAGCATTGCAGGGGCCTGCCCAGAGCCTTTGTCTGCCTGCACTCCTGGCCTCCAAGGAGCTGCTCCAAGGAGTCCCTGGGGAGGCTTTGTCAGTGCCTGCCCTCAGTGGGGCCCAGCAATGCTTCAAGGGACTTGCAGTTTGGCTTCTGACTTCTTCAGCAGCTCCTTCAATCTTCTCTCAGTACCTCAGGATCATGGGCTGGGCTGCAAACACACCGTGGGGCTCATTAAAATGCAGAAATCCCTCAGGATCTCTTTGTCTTCCTTTAATTGTCTTCAAGGCAATTTCAAAACAAGTCTTCAAAATTTGTACTTTTTTTGTTTTAATTCAATTATGGATATTTTTTAGTTGAGAGAAGAGATGATAGAGGTGTTCTCCAAGTGGTCTTGATGCTGAGTGTGTCCTCAGGAGATCCACACTGACCCTGGATGATCAACCTTGCTCCTCATCCCCCAACCTCACCAGTTCTGACATGGCCCATCTTGGATTGACAGCTGATGCAACTTCAAACACACTGTGGGACCCATTAAAACACTGAAAAACAAATTATTTTCATTCCTTTAATTGTCTTCAAGTCTTCAAGACTTTAACTGTTAATTGGAGTTGTTTTGTAGTTTAGCTAAGGAGGAGGATTTTAAAGTGGACATCATGAAAAATATATATTTTTTTGATGAAAGGGAATGATTGACACAGAGCCTTGGGATGCAAGAGGGTCAGGGCTCAAATGATTTTGATCCAAAGATAAGGTGGCAAAAGACATTAGTAGCACTTAATCATTGACCAACTGAACAATTATCAAGGGATTCAACTACATTTGCCACAATTTTAACAGTGACTGAATTAGAGATTCACAATAACAACATTCCCAACACAGTCAATTCACACCCACACCCAGGCAGAGGTGTGTGGACACATCAATCCCTGGATGTGGAAAGGTCCCTCTCCCAAATTCTCCTTGTTGTCAGGGAGGGACTCCCCCAAATCCCTTTGTGTTTGCCAACAGACAAGGTCACAGCTGGAGGAGTGTTTGTTGAGGGGGATCAGAATTGTCCTGGGCATCACCGCCGGTCTTTGGAGTGTTGCAAACTGGAGGGTTCCCGAGCTGGGAGAGGCTGCCAGAGATGTCCCACTGAGAGGGAGGTGCTGGGGAGCTGCCAGGGCCTCCCTCAGCCCCACTGGTTGTGGGTTCCCAAGGTGACTGGCTTTAGTTATCTGCTGAATTTCCATCCTGGTGTCAGGAATGACTGGAGTTTCCAAAATATTTGGGAACTGTATCCAAACTGTTCCATTTGGGTTATGATTCAGGCAGGGAATGTTCCAAGGCTTTCATGGGATGACTGGTTATCCTGTGTTCCCCAGTTGTTCCACTCCGGATTGTTGCCACCTGTATCATCCAGGAGCACCTGGTCCAGTCCAGAGACACTTCCCCACACCCCTGGTCCAGTCCAGGGGCTCTTCATTGCTCAGCTGGTTTGGTCAAGGCTTGTCAGGAGCTCCTGAGATCATCGACCAGGCCTGAGGTGAATGTGGGGAGGGTGCACCACTACAGAGGCTTCTAAGAAAGATGGAGCAAAACATTTTGTAGGGCCTAGATATGGTGTGATCGGACAAATGATTTTAAACTAAAAAATGGCAGGTTTGAAGTAGATATAACCAAGAATTTTTTACAGTGAGGGTGGTGAAACACTGGCACAGATGCCAAAAGAGGTGATGCCTCATCCCTGGAAACATTCAAGGGCAGGTTGGATGGGGCTCTGAGCAATGTGATCTAGTTGTGGATGTTTCTGCTTATTGCAGAGGGTTGGACTTGATGAATTTCGAAGATTCCTTCCTACCAAAACTCCTCCATCATTCTACTGGAGCCAAGGCTGACACAGCTTTCAGACCCAGTTGAGCATTCCCTTTTGATGGCCCATCCCACAGTTGCAGTTTAGCGCTCAGGACACAACACATATTCTCATGGTCCTTCAGGAGAAAATTAGAAGTGATTTCATTAGGAAGGTCAACTGGTGGAGCAGCCCAGTCTGGTCTGGCCCCACAGCAGTGCCCAGCCCAGGGGGCTGCAGAGCTCTGGGCACTGCCCCCACAGCCCCAACCCCTCTGAAGGGCACAGCAGCTCCTGGGGCACAGAGAGGAGTCTCAGCATCCCCATCAGCTCAGGGGCTGCACACTCAGCATGGCAGGAGGAAATGGAGGTCAGGGAAACTGCAGGAGCCCTGGTGTCACCTGCAGGAGATGCCCAGCACAGCCTGACTGTGCCCCTCAGTGCCAGCCCCTCTGCCCAGCCCAGCACAGAGTCCTGGCCCAGGGACAGAGCAGCCTGTCCCCAGGGGGGCTGCAGAAAGAGGTTTCTCTGTGTAACAGTTCGTTAGGATACATGCCCGGAATAAAACAAGTGCACAGATATTCAAGCACACAAAAAATCTTTATTACAGTGAAAATAGTAATAATGACAATAAACTTAGTGAAAGAACCAAAAACTAAAGAGATACAAAATAACTACCTTATCGTGAGGTCTTAAAACAAATACTACGAACAGCATTCAATACGGTATAATCTTAACTAGTAAAAGGGGATGCCAAAAAAAAGGGATCTTAACACTATATTATGGATAACACGATATTGGTTAGTAAAAGGGGAAATTAAAGGGAAAATACTATGATATTAAAAGGGAACAACTTATTCAATAATAAAGGGGAATTAAAGGGACACTAAAAGGATTAAAAGGTTAAAAAGTTAGTTCTCTCGGTTGCTTTCTATCAATAAACTGTGCTTACCCACACAGACAGGCCAGGGCTGCCAGGATCTGCAGCAGCTGGTCGGTGCCCATGCTTAGCGGGCGTCCCCACGGAGCAACACAGTCTCGGTAGTAGGATGAGTATCGCTCGACTCAGCAGTCCTGACACCCCATTTTTATCAGTTCCACATTATACTACGTAGGGCCAGTACACAGTATAAGGTGATGCCTGAATGGCAGCCAAACACCGCCTAATCATTACCTAATGGCAACAGTCTGCGCATGCCCTACTTGTGGGGCAAGGGGCGAGCGACCCCTGCCCACATAATCTTCCTCCCACCATCATCTTTCTCACCCCATGTATGACCTCTCCCATTGTGTTTCAAGGGTAGATGTATCTATCTTGCAATATGTAGCAAAACCAAGGAAGAACTCAGCTCTGATAACAGGGGATATCAGGCTGACTTGCTAAAAAGCACAATGGACCTTACAATTAGCTTGTGCCATGAAGTTACATTGTGCCATACTCTAGCTGGTTTCACATCCTAATATGAGTTTCTTTATCACCCTCTATGCTCCATTGATCATCTAATTCAAAAGTACCCCCTTACATCAGCGTAAAGACATTCATCAGCTTAGAGAGCTGGTTTGGTAACTTGAGATTGTATATGTTCTTTCCCTCTTCTGGAGTTGAATAAGCACGGTAAACAAGAGGACTTTCCTGCATCCAGAAATGCTGCTGTTTCTGATTTTGGTTATCCTTGCTGTGCCTTTGGAAAGCTACATGCCAAGTGTCAGATCAAATTTTGTTCCTTCAGTCAGTGTTCAATCTGAGTGGAGGACAAGCAGATTGTTTACATGGCAGATTTTGGAAGTTATAAGCAGGTTTATTTTATTTTATTTTATTTATTTTGGAAGAAGAGGGAAGGAAAGTGGCTGTTGGCATTTGATGGGATTAAATTTTTTGCCTTTTCCCTTAGAGGTTTGTTTTTAGCTGCTTCCTCATGACTCCTTACAAAGCCAAATTTCTGGAAAGCCTAGAAAACTATTACTGATAGCTCAACTTCTGGTTTTTTTTAAACATTACCAAACACACCAGAAAACCTGCAGCTAGGAGGACAAAACCTTCTCTTCTTTTAGAACTGATGTTGAAGTCTGTCCTGACTTTGAAGCTAAAGAATGTCTGCTTGTGAACATAGGAAGAGTTTTAGGGGTTCTGGATGTGCCACAGCTCTTGTTATTTTGATCTTTTAAAGCTTGAGGTTAATCCAGACTTGCATCTGCATGACTGGCATGTGTTGGGGGCACAGCTGGAACCGTTTCTGCTGTCGGCTCCCTAGGAAGGAGACACCATCAACCTGGAGACAAGTTGTTTCCTTCAAGGCACTGCTTTTTGTGCTGACACATTGTTGCATGACTGGATTTGAACTGTACTTCCATAGGAAGTGATCAGACTGCTGTGACTGCAGCACTGCTGGTTAAGTCACTGGCTTTTAGGTAGACTTTTGGGGTGCATCATATCAGTGAAAGCAATTAACATCTAAACAGATGAACTAGGTGAGCCAGGAGATGGAAAGGAAGGAGGAGGAGAGGAAGACCGGGCAGCAGGAGCATTTGGGAACCCTCACAGAGGGGAAAGCTTGTTTCACTGCGCTGGGTACAGATCCGTGCTGTGAGTCAGGCTGGTCATCCTGCAGTTTGAGTCGTTCCACACTGGGATCCAGGACTTTTCTCTAGTGAGATACTTTAAGATTAGCTTTGCTGGTAGTATTGATTTGGCACTTTGTGTTACTATCTAAGTGGGGTGACTCAAATGTCATAGCTGAAGGTGGTCTCCAGTTCTGCACACGGCTGCAGTTGTGCTAAAACATAGTAAATCTTGGGTGACCTTGTTCCAGCCAAACCCTGGATTCTCACATTCATGCCCAACAGGCTGCTTACAGCTGTTACATTTTGACATGGACCCTGCATTGCCATGGAGAACAGTGATATCCTTACCTCTTCCTGTTTCTCACTTACTATGTAGAAGAATTGAACTGTTCTGTCAGATGTTCTTTACACTGCTTTACTTGGTCTTTTTTCTCTATCAATGTAATGCCAATACTAATTTCATTGTCCCCATTGAAACATCTGGAATGAATTGTGGCAGTACAATTTATTTTGCAGGTTTTGAATCTCCTAACAGAGAAGGAAGAAAAGCTAGTTTTGCCAACAGCTGCCATTGTTCCATGGACCTTCATTCTCAAACCAGGAACGGCCTTGTTTTTAGCAGCCTTGGGACGTATAGACTACTTACAGGTAAGGGAAGAAAGGATTTTGGGAGCAGCTGCTTCATTTCTTACTATAGTACCAGACATGAAAGGCTTTTTAGGTAACTTTCCCAGACCCTTTTTTGCTGCTTTGAGATGATGAATCTGTTAATAAATAACTGCATAAGATCAGAATGCCTTGGGAATGCCAGAATTAGCTGGGAAAATAAGTGGGTTTTCTCATTTCTGTGTTTTGTGAAAGCTGGCTACCAGGAGAGAAAAGCATGGACATTTTTCTTTCCTGACACAGACTTCTGAAGAATTTGCCAGAGGAAGTAATTAATTGCATATGTATTTTAGTTTCTATAAAGATATTTTTAAAAGGTACTGTGTGTCCCCACTGCCAATAATTTCTTCCATTTATTATAAATCCCATACCATACACCTTTACTGAACTGTGTGGAGCTGACCTCCAATGATATTTCTTCCACATAGACATTATCATAAGTGCTAGAACCTTTTCTCAGTAGTTTGCCCTGTTTTGGAGGTGTGTATGGCTATTCCTTTGTTTCAGTCAGCTTTCCAAGATCACCATAGAAATGTTGAATTGGTACTTTGCTATGGACATTCTTGACCTGCTGAAAGAAAACCAGGAAGGTGGAGGGAGCAGGATTCTGTAAGTAATAATGTACTGGTATGGCAGGAGAGCTCCATCACAGCTAAGGTGAAAATCCAGAGCCCTGTTCCAAAAAAACAGCTTGGCAGGACAGAGTAGTAATGCCCTACTCAGAGGCAAAGATCTCTCTGGCTTGATTTGCCTGAGCAGAGCAGCTGTGATGGCAGGAGATGGGGCATTGGGGGTGCTTTGAGGCAGGATGGTGAAGCTGTGGGCACTTCTGTCCTGAAAGCTCAACTCTCCAGTTGATAAAAACCCTGGCTGCTCCACAGTGGCAGAGGCAAGGACCCCTCCGACAGGGAGGGGACATCAGGCAAGCAGTTTTTTAACATGCAGGAAAGAAACGGGACAGGAGAGAGAAATTCAGGACTGCTTTTCTATTACCATAATTAACATCCTCTTGTTATTTATTTCTACCACCTAAGGAGTCTTTCTGCTGTGCCTTTTGCAACCGGTCTTGTCTATCTCGTATTGTCCTTTTTAGCCACCAACGCACTTGTAGCAAATGTGGGTAGAGCCCTCCCCAAATCTTGGCGAAGCCCAGCCATGATGGTTATTTATTTCAGGGAGAAAAGTCTGCCTGGTTTTCTGTCGTGGCTTCTAACCTGTTGCCAGTCCACATCACTACCCTGAGTAACGCAGATGCCATCTACGAGAAGCACGCTGGCCGAGAGTTACTAAAGGTGAGAGGAGGTGCTATGAGGGGCTCTTGGCTGCAGGCAAGCAGCTGTCCTGCCTGGTGAAGCACCCTGGCTGGGGCACAACTGACAGGGAAAATCCACACGTATCAGGAGTTTGGGACTTCTGCAATGGAAACGTGCAGTGTGGAGCACTACACTTGCAAAGACTGCGTGGCTGCAGGTGTGATAGGAGAGAGCACTTGAGATGGTGTGTTTTCAGGAGAGCTTCTGTTTCTGGCATTCGGTCTGATAAGATGTGCAGTGGTCTGCTCTCTGATACTTGGCTCTTCTTGAACTGGCTTTAAGTGCAGGCAGCAACAGGGATATTTTCCATGGCAAACCTTCAGACTGGGGTTTCAGCACAGGTTGCAGTTGAAAAATGTACCTTTCTTATTCTTTACCTGCTGGATCCTCTGCACACCTCTTCGTCTTTCGGTGGTCTGACTTCTTCCTTGGTATGACAACGTACTGTGTAGCACTTGCAGATTGTTGGGAGATGGGGTGAGCTGTCCCTGTCCTGGCATTCCCATTCCTGGGCACATGGAGAACAAGTGCTGTCACTCATGTCAAGGTGGCTGGCCTGAGCCACCAGCTGTGTCCTGCAGTGGGCACTCCATCTTTGCTCACCTCCCATGGGGCTCCTCTGAATGTGATACTGATTCTGGCAAACCTGAAATAGCTCCTGTAGATTATTCCAGCCAGCTCTTAATTGGTTAACAAATGTCTCATATGTTTATTCCCTCTTGTGCCTTGCTTGCCAGTTTAAGGTAGGAGTTCTGAAGGATTTCTTGACTATGAAATCTTTTCTCCATGTTTTGATCTTAGGTTCCCATGGGTGGGGAAGAGCGAATGAAAGAGTTCCCCCCACTTGTCCCTCAGGACATTACACTGAAAGGAATTGGTACCACTGAGGCAGTTGCAGATATCAAGCTTTCCTCTGCAGGTAATTTAATATTTCTTCATTAGTTTGCTTTGCAGGGTCTGCATCCTAGAAACATTGATGGGAAGAGATCTCTGAAGGGGTGAAGCCATATTTCCTGCTCAGAGCAGGACTGTCAACAACACAAAATCACAGCAGCCATGGCTTTGTCCAGCTGAGGCTTGACAACCTCCAGGAATGGAGATTGACAGCCATGTTTGTACAGGACGGCTACAATGGAGTGCTTTATGTTCTGGCTGCCATACAGGTTCCACAGCATCAGCACCGCTGCCTACAGGACCAAAAAGCCTCCCTCCCTTGTGGAAAACCTGAAAACCACGGGGAGCAGATAGCACTTCTTGTCATCTGAACAAGACAGAAGGCAGAAGAGCCTCTGGAGAACCTTGTTGCTTATTGATATTCAGAAGACCTTGAACTCCTTTTAAAAGGCAGACAGGCACATTTTGGAAAGCAGGTGTGGGGGGAGCTCCATAAGTTCATACCTGATGCAGTTGCCGAACTGCAGCCAATTTGAATGAGCTGAGTGGTTGGTACCTTGCTGTGAGAGGTGAAACAGCTTCTCCCTGGGATCTGCCAGTATCTATGAGCAAATCCCTTTACCTGTCCCCTCTTGAAATACGGGATGGAAACTCACCTGCCTGACCTGGGCTGGCTCCACTGCTTGTAGAGTAGACGGCTTGTTGCAGACATGCCCCTTCAGGTCAGAAATTGTCACCTTGTTCTTGGAGGCCTTACAGTGTTTCCACAGTTACGGAGGTGGAGGGAATTGGAAAGAACAGGGAATGCTCTGTCATGGTTGTGACTCTCCTAATTGTAGTGGCTGATACTGATTCAACATCGACCTTTCACTCCTTCAGAATCTGAGGCAGATGAGGATGTGCAGTGCCCTGCTTTTGGACACAGGAGGGTGAATCAATGAAAAGCAGGTCTGCTGATGTGTGTGAAGAGGAAACTTTTACAACTCACTGCTTTGATATTTGGTTTCTGCGGATTGTGTAAAGGTTTTTGAAACTGAGGGTGTAAAATAAAACTTTTCAAAGACACTCTTTTGTATCCTTTTCAAATAGTTGACAAAGCGCTCTTGTGTGGACATGAGCATCTTGACAAATACATGAAAGCTCCAGTGCGGTAATATGTGTGCTAAATCTGCAGAGTGAGAGAGAGACATAACCAGCCAGTTTGCTGAAGAAGAGGCAAAAAAGAGTATTTTCTAATCTCTCCTTACCAATACTCTCAGTTTTCCCCACCCAAACTACTGATGTCACAACCCATCAGTCAGGGACACAATACATGTTGTAAATTCTCATCAGGCTGAACAAAGACACCAGGCAGGTGCCAGGGAGTTCCCGTGCTTTATGGTACAGTCACCATAACTCTGGCAACCAGCCCAGGAGTTAGACTCAAAA